TGTAGGGTTTAGGATTTAGAGTTCAAGGATTTAGGGTTTAGGTGTAGGTTTTGGGTGATATTTTATGGTAGAACCATAGTAAGGAATGGAAAAGTAGTGAGAATTATTTAGGCCCCTATAATCATGTTGTCAACGACCCCCTTGAGGTTAAACTCCTGAAGACACCGCTCTCTCCGAGCCTTCGCGCGGAGCATGGGGAAGTCGGAATGGCAGCGCCCAGCCTCACGTGAGACGGCTACAGCCTACGCCCCGACTCCCAAAAGGCTGAACCATGGATCCCGGAACCTGCACAAACCAAACAGAAATCAGGGGCTTTTAGGGCTTAGGGTTTAGGGTTTAGGGTTTAGGGTTTAGGGTTTAGGGTTTAGGGCTTAGGGTTTAGGGTTTAGGGTGTAGGGATTAGGGTTCTCCAAACCCAAAACTCGAAACCCTGGTGCAATACCCCCTCTCTCCATCTGCTCAATGAAGCCTCACTTTGGTTTACTACGAGGCCCCAGGCAGTTCCGGGCCTCGGCGCCGCCGGCGTTGCCACGGCAAGCGGCTGCATTTGGGGCGACAGTCGATGGTCTGAAGCTTCTACGAGGGTTCTACAATGAGGGTTTAGGATTTAGGGTTTAGGGTAAACCCAAAACTCTGAACCCCTAAACACCCTTTTTTCAGCCCGGTAGCCTCTGGGGTTGGGTTGGACCGATTCCAGACATCGTGCAGGTTGAGAGTTTAGGGGTTTTGGGTTTAATGGTCAGGGGTTTAGGGTTTAGGGTTTAGGGTTTAGGGTTTAGGGTTTAGGGCAGTTGAGGTTTGATGGCTTGGGAATGAGAGGGCTCGGGGTACCCAACGCTTGGGGCTTAGGGTCGTTACGCTTTGGGCGCTTCGGGGTTCAGTCGGGCAGACAGTGTAGGTGTCGGAGTTTTTTAGGGTTGAATAATTAGAATAGGGTTTGCGGGTGTGTTATATTATAGTTATCATAAGGAACCCCAAAATAGTATGGGTAATGATTGAGGCCCCTATACTAGGCTTTTTGGTGTTTACGGATTGAGCCATGGCTTGCAGCACGAAAAGATGCTCTGGAAGACTCAGCCTCGGCGCCCCGCTAGAGACTTGAGATCGGGTCTTCGGATTCGGAGTGGAGCCCGAATTAAAGCCCTCAACAATTCAAATATGCAGGCTTAGTGGGGAGATACAAACATGGCCGAACACCGCACAGGGTGTCCAGAAATTCTTAGCATTCAGGCCCCTTTGACTTGGCGTTTCTGCAAGGATTCACCAGGAATCAGGCCACTGACCAAGACTTGACAAGTAATTTCAAAAAACAGCAAAGACACAACGATTCATTACACACTTAGAATATGGGAGTTTGGAAGAGGAGGGACCCTTGGGAATATAAAACCTCTCAACAAGGTCCTTTTCAAGAGAGCCAGAAGTAGGGCTAGGAAAGGTCCCCTTTCAGGGGTCTCCCTTATCCTACCTAGGAGAATGTGTTGGGAAGGGTTTGGGGATCATTTCTGGGACTCCTTTGTCCCTAAAGCCTAAACCCTGGCTCTAAACTGAACAAGGATGCCGACGGGAGGTGAATCAGAAACTGGGTCGATCATAAGGACCCAGAGAGGGGAAGGGTGAGGGGGAGTAAAAAAGCTATACTTCCTTCGATAGGGCCTTATTATGTCCTTACTACAAGCATTAAGGCCCGCTGCCCCCCCCTCTCCCCTAACCCCTTGAGGGTCCTTATGCGTCGAGCGCATCACCATCAGCAAGTGAGTTCATCGAATGATTCCCAGTTCCGTAACCCCTCAACTTCGTGAATATGCCCGGCACAAATTCGTGAAACCGTCTTTCTGTAGGCTTCTCGTTTCATACAGGGCGAATTCTAGGATAATGCCCTAAACCCTAAGCCCTAAACCCTAAACCCTAAACCCTAAGCCCTAAACCCTAAACCCTAAACCCTAAACCCTAAGCCCTAAACCCTAAACCCGTAATAAAGCGTAGAGATAAAATGATACCATTGCCCTCAACCCAGAGTTTGAACTCCCAATCTCCGTCCCTAAACCCAATACCTGTTTTAGGAACTGTATATTAGATACCATGATAATCATAATAACACTAATAGCCGTAGTAGTAATAATAATAATAATAGTAGCAAAATAGATAATAATTGAAAGTAAAAATTTTTTAAAAAAAAACCTAAAAAGGTAGATTGTTTCGGCTACAGGTAAACACCAAATCTCCAGCTCCGGTTGCCCTGAGCCGTCAACAAGTCTCGGAACAAAGGCTCCCTCGTTGTTGCCGGCAGCGGAGATTTGTGCCTGGCTCAGACTTTGGATCCAAGGACTTTAGGAGGGACCCCTAATAGGGACCCTCAATCCCATTACCTCAAATACCCTATTTATAGTCCTTATATACCCCTTATGTAGACTGCAGGGGTCCCTAAACCCTAAACCCTAAACCCTAAACCCTAAACCCTAAACCCTAAACCCTAAACCCTAAACCCCAAAACGCCTAAACCCTAAACCCTTATATAGCCAGGTAGTCCCCATAGGCTCAGACTGTGGAGCTCCATGACAGCTGGCAGTAATTAAAGGAAACCACAGGTGAGGAGTTTAGGGTGCCTTTAAGGGATCCTCTAGGGTTTAGGGATTTAGGGGTTTAGGGTTTAGGGTTTGGGGTTTAGGGTTTAGGGTTGCAGGAAACTACAGGTGGGGAGTTTGGGGTATATAGGGCTTCTATAAGGCTTCTATAAGGTATATAGACCTTCTACAAAGCTCCTACTTGTATATCGGTAACTACCCACCTGAAAATGTCCTGGAAAGAGAATAAGGCTTCGCTGTGTATTATAGTAAAACAAGAACAAGGAACCCACAAAATAGCATAGGTAATCGATTTAAGGCTTCTATATTATTACTCTAACATTGACAGGACAGGCACGCAGGACGGCTCTGATGTCCATGGTAGCCCATGAGTTACACCTCACTGGCACTGCCTCCCCTCCCCCAAAGCCCTAGCGCGCCTTCGGCCGACTCGGTTCAGGCTTCTTCTCCTCTCGCCTTTCGGGACGGCGGTCATCCCGGTAGTCGTCCCGGCGGTCATCCCGCCGGTCGTCCCGGCGGTCGTCACGTCGGCCGGCGTCCCGCCGGTCGTCCCACCGGTCATCCCGCCGTTCATCCCGCCTGCCGGGCGTGCATGATGCAGGAACTAGCTACTACAGTCTCCCATCAAGTTCGTACCAGGCGCCAGACTCACGCAAAGCACTTTGCAAGCACATGAGCCACATTTTTCAAGCCTTGATAATTTAAAATTGAGACTCGCACCATCGACCCCAACACCCTAAACCCAAACCCTAAACCCTAAACCAAGGAGCATACATCACTCGCCTGGAGCCACCGTAGTCGTCAGGACTCCGGTCCCGCCGCCAGTTGTCGGAAGCACCTGGGCGATGTCCCAAAACGAGAGAGGCGGTCTGAGAAATTAGAGCGATTGAGGGTTTAGGGGTGTAGGGGTTTAGGGTTTTAGGGCTTTAGGCTTGTAGGGTTTAGGGTTTTAGGGTTTAGGGTTTAGGGTTTATGGGTTTAAGGGCTTTAGGGTCTGGGGTTTAGGGGTTTAGGGTCTAGGGTTGAGGGTTTTAGGGCTTATGGGCGAAGGGTCTAGGAAGCCCAAACCCTTACTCGAGACCCTGAACCCTACACGTGCATATAGCTCCCTTGGAGATTTTTGCACTTCCGGCATGGTAGAAACACTGCCGAAGCGAGAGTAACCGCCAATCCCCGAAACCCTGAAACCTTGAACCCCTCATCGCCGTCGTTGGTCCCTCATGCCAACAGAAACCTTAAAGCACTAAAAACCTCGAACACGCATCCAGAACTACAGAAAAAGTGCAGAAGGCCCCCTTCTTTCCGACGACTAGACAAAACTTCCGTGGCGGGTTCCCACAAACTACTCAAGCAGGCATGAGCGGCAGTTGTCTGCACTTGGAGTAGCCCTTCGGTCGCTTTCACTCTCTGCCTGCGACTCCTAGATCTTCCCCCTCGTCGACATGGCGGAGGGCATCTGACTGAACGGAGTCGTCATCATGATCAAGTTAAGGACAAGGAGCTGCACCTGGGGTCTCACTGATGTTGCACATGGCATCTTCATGACGACCTCGTCTAAACCCCAAACCCTAAATCCTAAACCCCTGAAACCTAAACCCCTAAACCCTAAACCCTTACACCCCTAAACCCCTAAACCCTCAACCCATCCTTGATGGTCTTTCTCCTCGCAGAGAGGTCGTCGGCTTCTACCCCGAACCATAGACCTCATAATACCCCAAAGCCCTGGTTTGAGGACATCTGCGCCGGACATCGGTGCACAATAGGCGAATCTAGGGTCCTCAATTTACTTAGGTGTTGGGATTTATACTTAGTATACTGATTGTCACAAGGGACCCTAAGGCATAGTATTACTAATTCCGACCCTCTTACTTAACTGGCTGAGGCTGGTGGATGAAGCCCACCCCTAGACCCTAAACCCTAAACCCTAAAACTCTATAGACCCTAAAACCCTGAAACCCAAAACCCCAAAACCCTAAACCCCTAAACCCCTAAACCCCAAAGACCTAAACCCTAAACCCCTAAACCCTAAAACCCTAAACCCTAAACCCGAAATCCCCAACCTGCAGTCCCAAACCCCCAAAACCCCAAAGCCCACACCCGAAATCCTAAACCCCAAACCCAAAACCCTGTAAACCCTGAAAACCTGGCTCTCCTACTAGAGCGTTCGGTTTTCCAGTTGCGGTTTGGGCGTTTAGGGTTTAGGGTTTAAGGTGTAGGAACTGAGACTTAGGGGCGAGCATCCCTGCGTTCAGGTTTAGCAAACTAGCATCCCAACAGCCTAAAGACTACACCGCCTTGAGTCAACGCCAAGAACAACTTCCCCGAACCCAAAAACCGCAGGACCCTAAAACCCCCTGAAGCCCTACAACCTAAACCCCTAAACCC